TGAACCATGTGACCAAGTTTCCTCTTAATTGTCCTTTAAAATTACTGTTTAAAACTTCCATTCAAAAACAAGTAGTTTCATGCAAGTTTTATCTATAAGAATTGACCTGGACAGTTTTCATCTGCATATTTTCTGTTGTGAGAAATTCTCAACTTGAATCACATCTTTGCCGTTTGCTGTAAACGTAACCCTTCACCTCTCTTTTTAGTCAAGAATTACTTAAATAACCTTTTTCCACTACCAACTTCGAGGATGTTTTTGCTCTGATCAATACTACACTTGTAACAAGACTCACCTTTTCAACATAGAACCCAGGCATGGCCTTTCCTCCAAAACCATGAGAAATCTCAACCTTGAAAATCAACGCACATTCTCTGTCAGAGTGAAAGGCAACTTTCTAATTGTAATAAAATAATTTACAATCCTGTGGCCTGGGGAAACTTCCTATATCATGCTAACTTTTGTGTCTGTGGATGAAATCCTATGGTGTTACCATTCAATCAAACCTCTTTCGCAGAACATTTGCTGCGTATATATACCACATCATTTTTTTTTCTAAGGACGTCACAATCAAAGAAGTTAACTTTTTCATGAGTATCTTTTCTTTGGTTACCATTGGGATTGAAAGAGTTTAGCTTCAAAATAAGAACGTTTGTGAGTGATTTTGAACTTCAGGCTGAGAGAATGTGCTTATGATAATAAAGTGGTTGTATAAAATGGCATGGAAAGTTCTGGTAAGTATTAAGGTACAGCTATATTATTAAGCTTGTGGTACAGTGTACCTGTTTAGATGGTGATAATTTTATGTGCTCTATTCCACAATGCTCCTTTTCAAGCTGGTAAGTAAGAGCTAAAACTTTCAAGTCAATTGCTGAAAGGCTTCTGAAATCCCCAGTTAGCTTGGCAAATGCTGTTACTATAAAATACACAGGATAAAGTAATCATCATTACTAAAGATTAGGAGGACTAAAATATTGTCTGCTTCAACTTACAACAAACCAAAATGGGAAAGTCAATAAGCAAAACAAACAAGACAATAAACAAACGAAGCATCTTGTTGATTGTAGGCTTTGCTTGCATGTCTTTTCTAAAACTTTGCTTTACCTACTCTGTATTGATGATATCAGATTCATTGTCTTTCATCACCAGAAAGATATAAACGCAAAACAATTCTCAGGCCCTTGAGCCCTATCCAGCAGATTAGTATAAGGAAAACCAAATGCCTTATCTGATGGTTTATCCAGTGGATACCATTATCCAGGCATAGTTCAGTCATGATAGTGTGCAGTTCTTTTAACTGATAAAAACATTGCTAAAAGTACAAAATAAGTGTCCATGTGATTTTCAAAGAGTCACAAGGAACATAAGAATAAATCATAAAGTAAAAAAAGGTAAAAAATAATCCTGTAGCACAATAATAATCTGTAATAGCTAACACCATGCCTGGAGTAGTTGCTGAAGTCAAAAACAAGATGTGCTTACTTAAAGCCATTCAGATCAGAATATCTGACCCATACACTCCTCAATATAATTGCTTATCTATTACTATCGATTACTATCAGTGGTTATCCATTTTCTTCAATCAACAATAATTGCTAAATATTTTTTTCAATTTCTATTGATTAACTACACCTGGCGTTATCCTCCTTTTAAACAACTGCGAACAGAACGGTTATCTCATATACCCATATTTTTGGTGTCAATACCTCAGCTGGCCAGAATTACCTTGTGCCCCAAGCATGCATACAGCAAGCATGCATGTAAATTCTTTAATGAGTTTTCAAATGGAAAGTATGAAAATTTCCACCTTCCTGGGTAATTTTGCTTAGCTGTCACAACATCTAATGTGAACAACCCAAATGTTTAAGGTGATCTGCACGGTTACCGTCTGCAGCCATCCATGTTTAACGTAAGTTTATGTTTGGGTAAAATGCCCTCAGAAGATCTTGAAAAAATTGACAGTTTCCACTGCTGGTTACAACATTATCTTTATCCAAAGAATTTTGAGATATAGAAAGGGACTGCTCCGAAAATCTGCGATCACCTGATAGTTTCCTTAGACATGTAGGGCGGCAGTTAAGAGATCGCGAAAGTAATTAAATTATAACGTAGAAACGTTGTGTGAGTAAGCCAAGACGTGAGCTAAACTTATTCCGAATATGACAAACAGTCGATCATAAAGTAAACAGAAACTGCTTTGTTCAACACTTTTTCTATCGTCGAAATTATGGGTGGTGAGTGCTTTAGATGAGAGAGTAATAAAGCAGCACCTGAGGGTTTTAATAGTACCTGCTCGAAGAGCTTCGCTGGAGGGCTGTCTGAACTGAATAGTGTACGGTAACACCGCTAAACGCTGGCGACTTGCCGCATCTCTGATCTCACTTACAACCTCTTCAACTGTGTACACATTCTCACACATATCGTTGAGAGGTGCATTTTTGAGAAAAGCAGCTGAATCGGCGATAACATGCCGTATTCTACCACTCGCTTCTTTCGCCATTTTGCTTTATCCACATGTACTCAGAAGGTATGATCGTCATATATCGCACACGAAAAATGTGCTCGTCCCCAGAGCCACTCGTCCATCTTTACTCACAGCCAGAGAGTCCAAAAGTAAAATCACAGGCGGCCCAGACGTAGTGTGTGTCACTGAATGAATATATTAATATTCACATGGACAAATTAATGCGATGAGTCGTCGAAACTCCCATGGACTAAAATAGTCCAAAAGTCAAAATATAACAAAACAAAGCTAAGATACCTTCAACTGAACGTATCCTTGTCTTTCCTGGCCGGTTTAAGTGGCATTTTGTTGAGTTTTGCAATTGTAGGTACTGTCCACTAAAGAAGAATTAAAGGCTGGCTACAAAACAAACAGACCATCTCCAAGCGCCTTCACACGAAGCGCTATAAATTCGAGAATAATCGACGAATCCGCTCCAAATAACCATCGGCTAATCTGCAGGTAACGAGTGCTCCTGCTTCTGGCTCGCTTGCTCCACAAAACCCATCGCAACTGCACAATAATTGCTCGCTCTTCAACAACCACTGTTGACCTTTACGCTTCGATATGACCGCAAACGACCAGGTTTAATACGCGACGTGAATATTCAAGCTTAGCGACCGCGTTCGCGCAACAATGCAGCACTTGCTATGGGAGGAAAGGTACTATTGCTTCTAGGTCAATCAATCGGGAAAATAATATTGAAGCCCTTGTAATTTTAAAAAGATCCAATTTGCCCTAGGAGCACCGAACAGATACGAATCTTATAGCGGAGCTAAAAAGAATGAGCGGCAGTGGAAAAAGTGAACAAGAACATGTACCACATTTTCTCCATAACAAGTGAAAACCAGGAAGTTTTCTGGACAGTTACGTTGCAGTCATGCAAATCAACGGCAAGGAAATTTGTACAAGAAAGTGTGCTGCAATTAGACCTATTGTTGTTTTTCACAGTTCTGGTCAAGGGCATCCAACTTTTAATTTTTCAGATTTCACTCACCGGGTTAGGCTATTTTTCGTAGAGAGTAAAATGGAATTCTAAAATTTTCGGATTCAAAAATGTGATGAAAGAAGGTATCTGAAAAATTATCTCCTTCGTAATACGTTAAATTGCATCTAAAATTTTCGGGAAAATAATTCTGAATTCCTCGTAATCTCGAAAAGACTCAAGTTCCTCTAGAATTTCCGAACACTGAGATGCAAATTTTATAGCGCCACTTAAAATGCATTTCTATAGAGCTAAAAGTACTTTATTATGAATAGCTACAAAAGTGTTTGCAATTGAAAGTATTTGAGGAAACAGTCGTTGGGTGGCCCTGTCTCGTTGCCTTCTCCGCTTAGCATTACATGATATATTTTATATTTAGTATGAGCAAACTATAAATCATTAGCTTCGCTTTTAGCCCTCCTGACTAAATTTATGTAAGCGCTGTTTAGAATGCATTTTTCGATCAAAAGTAGTCTGGACAGCCTTAAATGTGTTTTCAATGCATTTAGGGGGAAATCATCGTTGGGTGCCCCTGAGTTTTGAGAATAATAATAATAATAAAAGATATCGCGCACATAAATTTTACTTTACGATATCTTCAGCTGTATCTTCTATTCAGCTGCATAGCGGGGGCCAGATTTTGCCTTTTTCCTGGGCGGAAAATTCTCGTCCTCCTTCACCAGTTTGGACAACATATTATGGAGTAAGACGTTGTTAATCTAAGAAAATAAGTCTGGGAGAGTCAAGAACCTATGCAAGCGGCTGGACGAACAATGTGACAGCAGCTGAGACAGCGAACGTTAGAAGAATTCGAACTTGAAAACCAGGGCTGCCCTGTTGAAAACTTACGAACGGTCCCGCGATCGCCTTTCGTTTTCTGGTCAAAACTAACGCAGCGAACCTTCGGTCAGTCGATTGACCTAGAAGCAATAGTACCATCCCTCCCATAGCAAGTGCTGCATTGTTGCGTGAACGCGGTCGCTAAGCTTGAATATTCACGTCGCGTATTAAACCTGGTCGTTTGCGGTCATATCGAAGCGTAAAGGTCAACAGTGGTTGTTGATGAGCGAGCAATTATTGTGCAGTTGCGATGGGTTTTGTGGAGCAAGCGAGCCAGAAGCAGGAGCACTCGTTACCTGCAGATTAGCCGATGGTTATTTGGAGCGGATTCGTCGATTATTCTCGAATTTATAGCGCTTCGTGTGAAGGCGCGTGGAGATGGTCTGTTTGTTTTGTAGCCAGCCTTTAATTCTTCTTTAGTGGATAGTACCTACAATTGCAAAACTCAACAAAATGCCACTTAAACCGGCCAGGAAAGACAAGGATACGTTCAGTTGAAGGTATCTTAGCTTTGTTTTGTTATATTTTGACTTTTAGACTATTTTAGTCCATGGGAGTTTCGACGACTCATCGCATTAATTTGTCCATGTGAATATTAATATATTCATTCAGTGACACATACTACGTCTGGGCCGCCTGTGGCAAAATTAGTATGTGTGATCGCTTGCCCTCGTTTCTCGTGCTCGTATTCTTCCGTGTCTCAAAAGCAAAATAGTGTCAAAGGCAAATCCCTGTCTAACCCCTTTTTGGTCCCCGCTAGCTGATACTTGCGTATTATACCGTCGAAAACTCCACAATACCGTGGCAACGGTGACAGTCTAAAACCGCTGAAATCTGCCGCTAATGCCCCGGCCCCAAGAGACTATAAAGGGGACAGAGAGGGCATCCCCCATATACACCCTATTTCATAGGTAATTCGTCTCGAGTTATTTTTAGAATCGGGATAAAGTTACCTCGCGCGAGGCGTGGATGTTTCGTGGAGGTTTCGCATGACCAAACGCCGTGCAAAACATGTCGGGCGAGGGGCAATGAAAACGTAAAAAGATCGAGAGCATTCCTGAATATTGAAGCGAAATGAGTCGGCGCTCACCTGGGAAAAAGGAATCGCTGGACTCTTTGACAACCCGTGAAATCAGTTTAACTCGAAGTTGTCGTAACCTCAATGCTTTAATAAAATGAGAAATTTCGCCGGTCTATTGAAACCGGTCGTTTGTACAATTTAGGGAGTTTAAGATCCAACGACGCGGACGACAACTAGAGCGTCAAAAAAACAATAGGTTTAATTAGCAAAACAACAACTTCGCACGTGCAACACACTTTTTTGTTCATTTCTTTCCCGTTTTTGCACGACTACGACGTGAAAATGCCTAATTTCGCGTTTTATGGAGGACGTAAATAAGCAACGACGAAATTTTGTATCTCTTTCTGAGCTTGAATATGGTTCCTTGAAATTCAGCTTTAGGAGGGTTCGCCTACAATTGGCAAAGTAAGTGGGTAGGAATAATCGCTATAAAGACTGAAAAAAATAAACATCAAACCAGAAATTGCTCTCTTCAAACTGCAAATTATAAATGATCCAGAGAGAATATTCAGTGTGTTAAGGATTTCCCTGCTCTACTGTTAGCTCTATACAAGAGAGGAAGGGCGATTCTTTTTTAATTTCTGTTTCGCTGACACAGCTTTCACAGAAATCTCTCTGTAGTCGTTTTCGTCGACAAAAGGAATAGCAAAATCGCTCTCCGCGTCTTCCCCCATTTTGTTCTGCGTCATTTCGTGAACGACGCGTGGCTCTCAGCGTGGGTCATCCATGCGGAACACATTCGCGCTATGTGATTGGCTGTTGTCTAATCCCCCTTGAGATCTGTGGTGTTAAAAATAACTCGAGACGAATTACCTATGGAATAGGGTGTATATGGGGGATGCCCTCTCTGTCCCCTTTATAGTCTCTTGCCCGGCCCGCATTCCCCGGTGTATGGGGGTGCGGGGCTTTGCACTGACTAATAGTAGGGGACAGACCTGGCAAGAATTTTTTTCCGGCCGATTGCCTGTACAGTATTGAATACATTTTTTTGAACGCAACCTTTTGAAAGGTATTGTCATTGAAAAAATTGCTTTCATGCCCTTTTCACTAATGGAGTAATAAATTCATTTAAAATGAGGCTGCTTTGTTTTCTTTTAAATGCCACTTTTTCTACTCAAACTTTTTCTTGAAAACAATACTTCTTAAACATTATTCATTTTAATAAATTTGATTCCGGAGGAGGTTACAAAAGTAAAAATAAAAAAGGTGTAATTAATATGTAGTAATGCAGTTGAACTTTCATTCGAGTCACATGGTCCAAGGGAGTTTATAAGCCATTTGTCCCGGATACGTCATCGCCCAAAATACTTTGTCCCAGAAGGCTGCAGGTGCGCATAGGAACTAGGCGTCAACTAGGCAAGGAGACGCCACATGTCACAAAACACTTTCCAATTAAAAAGGTTTAAAGGCTTGTTTATAGTGGAAAGTGGTGTACTTGGCTTATCCAGCTAGTTTTACTCAAATAATTAGAAACAAATAATTCAAATATAACATAACGGGATTAAAAACCCCAACTGGCAGGAGGCAACCAGTTGGTTATTTACAAGCGTGGCCGAGGATTTGAACTCGGGACGACCGAGAACAAATCTAGCAAGTGGCCAGAGCGGGGGCTCGTACCCTGCAAAAAATATTGACTTATTGTTTTCTTGGAGGACGCTCAGTAAGATGGTCAAACTGTATTCTTCTTACAAGTCGAGTCCTCAGCAATAAGTGATTCATGAGGAGTGAGGAGTCCCCTCAAGGCAAGACACTGGCATCCGATTCATATCAGCTTAAAATATGTTAAGCCATTTCTTTGTCTTTCAACGGACATTTTTCTAGTCTGTTCCAGGCGTTCAGATCGTGGGGACAGCGCAAAGAGATGTGAGCAGAAAAAAAAACGGGGAGGGGTAGGGGTGAGAGCGAGGGCATTCCCTCCTCTTTCCCTCTCCCTCTTTTCCTCCTTATTTCCTTATTTTTTTCTCGCTCTCTTCCTTCGCGCCACACTCTAATATCCGAACTCCTAGAATAGGTTAACAGTAATCTATCTCTTGGCAAAGAGTTAATTTTTTTTTTTCGTAAAAACCCCGACTACACTAATTCAATTTCGTA